CCCAGGAGTTTGAGACCAGCCTGGGTAACGGAGTGAGACCCTCTCTCTACAAGAAAAAGTCTTTGGGAGGCCGAGGTGGGCGGATCACTCGAGGCCAGGAGTTCAAGGCTAGCCTGCCCAGCATGGCAAAACTCCATCCCTACTAAAAGTACAAAAAATGTAGCCAGGCATGGTGGCTCACACCCCTGTAATCCCAGCTACTCAGGAGGCTGAGGCATGAGAATTGTTTAAATCTCAGAGGGTGAAGCTGCAGCGAGCCGAGATGGCTCCACTGCACTCCACACTCCAGCCTGGGTGACACAGCAAGACTCCATCTCAAGAAAAAAAAAGTCTTAAGAAGTTTATAATTACAAACATCTGCTATTCTATTGCTCCTTCCATCAGCAGGTAACAGCAACTGTGTTGATGGCAGGCCAGGCCAGGAGGCTGGAGCCAGGCTGCGGAATTGCCTTGCACCTGGGCTGAGCCTGGGTGTGGGTTGTTCCCCTCGCCGGGCCTCAGTTTCCTCATCTGTGCAAAGCTGGGAGTGAGGCTGGTCTATCTCCGCTTCAGTCCCTCAGGAGACTGTCATCTGAAGTCACTGGGACTCCACGCTCTGAGTGTCTCAGGGGACACGGAATCACGGCAGGCTCCTGAGGGCGGGCAGCAGAGGCTCCGAGCCCTCGGATGAGCAGCCAAGCACCTTGTGCATTGGTCCCACACAGACTTTGCTGTTTAACCTCATGCTCCTCCCAAATGAAATCCTCGCTCCAATGGGGCCTGCCTGCTCCGTGTGCCTGGAATGTTCCACGTCCCTCCCTGCCCCCTCTGCCTTAGGTCTTATCTGCCCCGTGCCTGCCCCGTCTTCTGTGCCAGCTCACTTCCCTCATCTTCCACAGTGCTAGCCACTGAGTTCTGCTTTCTTGAACCCCACACTCTCTGGCTGCCCCATATCCAGCTACTAATCAAGATAGGGAGGTAGCAAGGCAGTACACAATGTTCCAGAATCTTCCACTTCTTACCTTCAAAAGGAAAAGGGAGGCGAGGGGGTCTCCTCAGAAGGAGGAGGAGGCTTTCCCAGCAAAGCCTGAAGAACAAGGGTGTGTTGGGGCTGAAGATGGGGTGTAGGTGGGATGGGCTGCTCCTATGCCCTGAATGTCTGGGGCCAAGGGGCCAGTGTCTGGGGCTCGTGCTCTGCCCTGAAGCCACCAGAGGCAGAGCCCAGGCTACATGACCTTGTGTCTTGGGAGCCTGTGCACTGCCGGCCCCTCAGGGAAATAGGAACGGCACCGGGGTTCCTGTCTTGGGCCACTGGCACTGCAGAGGTTGGGAGCGGTGGGCTCATAGTAGGCACTGGGTGCTGGCTCACTTGTTCACTTTGGAGCATTCACAGTGGGCTCTGCCACTGAACACACAGCAGTCTGCAGGAGCTAGAGCAGCAGCCTCCTTCCTTTCCAAGGGACAGAAACCCAGGCGCAGAGGTACTGAATCAGCCGCTCCAAGTCCCACAGCTAACAAGTGCCAGAGTGGAGACTAGAACCTCAGTTGCTGCCCACGCTGCTGTCCTTAGTTTCCGCCGGGCATCCTTCTCTGTTTTGCACACAAGGCACTCTGTGTGTGGTGCAAGGTGGGTCGGGAGTAACACAGGTTCCTCCCTGTGTGTCTGCAGGGTAGACAGACTCATCCCCTGCCAGCCAGGACCCCAGGAGACAGGTCCCAGAAGAGCTTCCATACAGCACGATGGAGGAGAGAGGGGAGCACGTTTCCCTCTGCAATGTATTTGTAGAATCAAACATTTGAATAGGCGTGAATGATTCACATTACAGAGAGACCTGATGCACACGAAGAGGCAGGGTGACTGCTGAGTGGCAGTCCTTTTCAATAGGGTTTGGGTTACATCAGCAGACCATTTCAGAGGAAGAGCAAGAGGGGTTCAGGCTGGGCATGAGGGAGGGGGATGCAGAAGGCAGGGCGGAGGCCTCACCTGCCCAGCCCAGATGGGGCTGTTTGCATCCCCCGGAGGGGGCAATGCAGGGGTGAGGGCCACGCCCATAGCCGGGAGCTGTGTATCCTGTGCTGTGGCCACGTGGACCATGTGGAAATGCAACAGAAAGTCCCAGGCATCCCATCATTTTTTCCCACCTTGTTGGAGCAGCTCCTCTGAAGGGAGAGCCCTGGAGCCCTGTGCTGATGGGTCACCTGCTGCCATCTGCAGTTGTTTTTTTTTTTCTTTTTGAGACGGAGTCTCGCTCTGTCGCCCAGGCTGGAGTGCAGTGGTGCGATGTCTGCTCACTGCAAGCTCTGCCACCTGGGTTCATGCCATTCTCCTGCCTCAGCCTCCTGAGTAGCTGGGACTACAGGTGCCCGCCACCACCCCCAGCTATTTTTTTTTTTTCTATTTTTAGTAGAGACGGGGTTTCATCGTGTTAGCCAGGATGGTCTCGATCTTCTGACCTCGTGATCTGCCCGCCTCGGCCTCCCAAAGTGCTGGGATTACAGGCATGAGCCTCTGCACCCGGCCTGCCAACTGCAATTTCTCCTGTTTTCTGCAGTGGCGGGAGGCTGGAGGCAGGGCCCCCCTAGAGCCCACAACACCACAGCCCCTGGGCCAGGAGCTCACAGGAAAGTCTGTACTTCCTCCAGCTCCTGCTGGGGCCAAAGAGAGGGTCTTGGGCTACAGGGCTGCCCCATCTGTGCCGACTCTGGGGCCACCTCTGGTCCCTGGGCAGGTTGTGGGTCCTGGGGAGAGCTTCACAGACCCAGTGATTCAGCCAGGGCTTGCCCACTTGCAAGACACCCACTTCGAAATGGAATTGGAAAGGAGGGTGTAATTAATTAGTGCCCCTGGGAGTTTCTGAAGGGCTCTGGGGGTGGCCCTCCAGGCGGAGCTGGACTCATGGGTCCAGGCGATGGCCTCAGGACTCTCTCTCCTGGACAGTCCCTTTCCTGGCTCTGTGGGCCTTTGCCTGACCTCTCTTGCTGTGGCCTGATGCTTCCCTGCAGCTTCCTCGTCATCCTCAAGAAGGGCCCTGCCTGGCTCCGCCTGGGTCCCTGATGCTCTCATTATCTACGGCTGTTCACAAGTTACCCAGTTTAGAGCAACAGACATTGATGGTCTCTCATGGTTTCTGAGCGTTTAGAATCTAGGAGGGACTTGGCTGGGGGTTCTGCCTCAGCGTTTCTCAGGAGGTTGCCATCAAGCTGTCAGCCAAGGCTGCTTCGTCTGAAGATTCGACTGGGGCCAGAGGGGCTGCTTCCAGGCCCACTCACTTGCTGCTGGCTGGGTCCAGGATGCAGCTCCTCGCCTGATGGCCTCTCTGGAAGGCTGCTTCACAGCATGGCTGCTTTCTGTCCCCATAATTTGAGAGTGAGGAGAGAAAGGGGTGGGGGGAGAGAGACAGAAGAAAGGGTAGTGAGACAGACAGAGAGAGACAGAGACAGAGAGACAGAAAGAGACAGGCAGAGAGACAGAAGAAGGGAAGTGAAAGAGACAGAGACAGAGAGAGAAAAAAAGGGAAGACAGAGAGAGACAGAGACAGAAAAAAAGGAAGTGAGAGACAGAGACAAAGAAAAAGGGAAGTGAGAGAGACAGAGGAGACAGAGACAGAGAGAGAGAGAGACAGAAAAAAAAGCAAGAGATAGAGACAGATACAGAGACAGAGAGAAAAGGGAAGTGAGAGAGACAGAGAGAGAAAAAGAGAGAAAAAGGAAGAGAAAGAGAGAAGAGGGAGAGACAAATAGGGAGGTAAGAGGGAGACAGAGACATAAAAAGAGGATGAGACAGAGAGACAGAGAGAAAAAGAAGAGGAGAGTGACAGAGATAGATACAAAGAAGGAAACACAGTCTTTTTATAACCTGATCTCAGAGGTGACGTCATTCTTTTGTCAGATGGTCACACAGACCAGTCCCAATGCCATGGGGAAGGAACTGTGCAAAGGTGTGAATACCAGGAGGTGGGGTCATTGGGCAGCTGGCCACCCACATGCCCAAGCTGGACCTGTCCCTGTTTCCAGCTCCAGTGACTCCCTTGTGCCTGCAAAGTGGAGGTCACATGACTAGTACCCCTTACCCTGGATGACATGAAGAGAGGCCTGGCAGTTCTCCCCAGCGTGTGACTGCCCTGCCAGAGCGGGGGCCAGGTGATGGCGTGAGAGCCTCTTATCCAATTGCTGTCAGTGTGTGACTGGAGGGAACATTCTCTATCCCTGTTTCTGTTTGCTAAGATATTGTTGCCCATGTATTCTCTCTGTTGTTAGTGTTGAGTTTCTCAGGCTTAGCTTGGAAACTGTAGCCCTGTCTAACTTCTGGTGAAGGATGCCGACACATCTCCCCTAACGCTGCAATAAAGAAAGCTGTGCTTGGAAACGTCACCGCTAATGAAGCCATCTTCCAAGATCCTGGACTCTAGAGAGTGTCTTGTGTCTGGAAAAGGTCACTTGCATCTTAAAAGTGAGCTGTAATTCTGATAAGGTGTCTTCATAATGTGTTGAAGTGGCAATAATATTTGAACCAACATCTTTGTTTTCTTTCTTTTTTTTTTTTTTTTTTGAGACGGAGTCTTGCTCTGTTGCCCAGGCTGGAGTGCAGTGGCCGGATCTCAGCTCACTGCAAGCTCCGCCTCCCGGGTTCACGCCATTCTCCTGCCTCAGCCTCCCGAGTAGCTGGGACTACAGGCGCCCGCCACCTCGCCCGGCTAGTTTTTTGTATTTTTTAGTAGAGACGGGGTTTCACCGGGTTAGCCAGGATGGTTTCGATCTCCTGACCTCGTGATCTGCCCATCTCGGCCTCCCAAAGTGCTGGGATTACAGGCTTGAGCCACCTCGCCTGGCCTTGTTTTCTTAAAAGTATAATATTTGTTATTTTTATTTATTAAGCCAGAATAAAATCATTAGCACATTTTACTTCTTTCCCGAGAATAGAGGAGTAAAAAAGAGAGAAAATAATCCTTCTCTGATCCTGTTGGATTTTTAAAATTTAAGCAAAGTGAGAATCTAATGATTTTTAAATGAACAGCAATAACTCTATGAGGAAAGTTGATTTATTCAATTGTAGGAAGTTCATTTCTAAGCTGTTATATCTGAAGGGTGCATGGGGACTCCCCGTGGCGAAAATCAGACGGACCAGGTGGCGCCAGGTGCTTCTCCATGGCTGCAGTTGGCAAATGGCGTTTCCATGCCCGGGAATTCTGGCCAAGCTCTGCTGTGTAGAATTTGAGGGATGTGATCAGACAATTGTTTATCTTTTGAAGTGGAGCCCAAACTACCCCTGTTCATAAACAGTTGGTTTCCTGTAGTGTCTCTCTGGAGGTATGGAGACATTTAATCCCAGCAGGAATTTTGATGAAATTCCTTGCCTGTACCCCCGGTTGTCAACCTCAGCAACAACACCCATGCATCACCAGCCACCGTGGTGTCTCTGCTCTCTGGCTTCTACCAAAAGCCCAATGATTGCTTTTGAAAGACATGATTATTTGCAGGATACGCAGTCCATCCATGTCTCTGGGTACCCTGAAGTCTACCTCTGGAGGAAGAAGTCCGCATATCTAGACCATAGGACCATGCATGTGCAAAGAGGGCTCCTCACTGAGGCAGTTTCCTGCTGTGCCACTGACTTCTGCTGAGGCCTTTGTGAAAAACAGCTGCGTGCAGGGTGTCCTCCTGCCGTATTTCTCCATGAAAACGGTATTGAGAATTATATTCCCATTTTATCACACAGCATTCCCGGGTCAACTGCTACAGAATTTTCTTTTCAGGAACACATGTGTTGCCTTCTTTCTGATAGGGAGACCCACCCACCCGTTCATCTGTCTCCATGTGGTCTGCCAGCGGGCTTGGAACCACGTCTGAAGCCTCACCTCTAGGAGCCAGTTTTGTCTCCTCCTCGTCCCTGCTTCTTATCACTCGTGGCACTTTTCTCTTGGGTCCTGACCCTTCCTTTCAGTTGGTGTTTTTCATCTTTGGGAAACACCCAGGCATGGGGGCAGAAGCTTGGGTTTTAGATTTGGCTGGGCCGGGTTCAAATCTCAACTGTGTGGCCTCAAACAAGTGACTTGGACTTCTCTGAGCCTAACCATTGCCGATTTTTCATCTCTTATATGAAGTGAGCCCTGTTTTGCAGGTCAGGGAGCTGGGGCCTAGCTAGGATCCAAAAGATTATTGCAGTTTCTCATAAAACAAGTGCATGGTAGTTAATATTTGCCATAGGGTGTACAAAAAGATTCATTGATTGCCTTCCTGTTTTTAATCTTCAGAGAAAGACGGATGGGATTTCAGTAGCTCAGGGTTGAGAATGTTGCCTCTGTGTATTTTTGGAGACGAACCTTCCGAAGCAATGGGAGCTCATGCTGCCTGCAAACCAGGGCATCAGCCAGCATTCACTCTCAGACTTACCGGACAATAGAACCCTCTCCCATGGAAGGCACATCGGGACCCACTTCAGACAATGCTGCTGTGGGTTACGGGCCAGAACTTTAAACAAGAAGTAGGGGTGGCCTCGTTCCCTGGGGCTGTTGTGTGCGGATGACCTGGAGGAGGCTGTGGTGGGGCCAGGCAGGGCCAGTGGACTGAGCCATGCATCAGAGTGACCGGCCACACTTTAGAATGGAGATTCCTGGGCCTCTCCCTGGCTGCTGTGGTTCAGCAGGGGCGGCGGGGACGAAGGAGCTCCCAGGTGATCTGACTCCTGGGAGCAGGGTTTGGGTAGGCCCTGGGCCTATTGAGGTCAGGGTCTGGTGACCCTAATTCCTTCCAACCCTGGATACGGGTCTAGTCCACAACCTGCCAGGGAGGGTTTGCCAAATCTGTTACTCTTCTGCCAAGTAAACCACCAGAAACGAGACCCTGTTTTAGAAATTGTTACTTACATCCCCTTTGGCTTATTTTTTTTTTCTTTCAAAAGCGACTGGATGGCAGAGGTGATAAAGCTGGGAAGAGAGGCATCCTGGAACGGCCCGTGTTATGAAAACCCAGAGTTTCACTTAGATGGACAGCCGCGAGGGGGCCGGTGCTCCCGGCAGTGATTGAGTTACCCTCAGCAGCAGGGTCCTGAGGTCACAATCCCTGCTGGAGGAGTGACTGATGCCAGACTCCAGGGCCCACCTTGGGTGACCCTGGGATGTCAATGAGTGATCGCTGGCCACTTGGTTCTGGGCCACCCACATGCCCAGAGACCTCAAGGCGGGCTGATGTCCAACCAGCAAAGCAGAGCAATCCTTCTGGAAGCCTCTCTCCACAGGGAGCTGGCTGCTCCTTCATCACTCCCATCTGAGGGCTCTGGCTGCAGCCGGCTGTCACGCTGAGCAGCTCTGCGGTGGATTTTATGCTGCTTGCTGTGTGTCTCTTTTGTCGAGATCTCCACTCTCTCTGGATTCTCTCCTCTGGCTTGGGCCATGCTCACTCATCCAGCTTTGGAAGGACATTTGTCCTCTAGCTTCCTCCAGGAGGGGGATTTGTCTTAGAGAGTGGCACTTTCTCTTCCCTCCACAGCCCTTGTGCGCCTTCTGCAGCGAGGGGAGTCCCCTGGTGCTGAGAGGAGAGGGAGGAGAGCCAGGCAGGGCCTGCGGGACCCCAGCAGGGGTGCCCTGGCCACCTCGAGTGTCTGAGACTCACGGTCTATTAAAAATGGAAAAACAGACTGGGCACCATGGCTCATACCTGTAATCCCAGCACTTTGGGAGGCTGAGGCAGGTGGATCACTTGAGGTCAGGAGTTCAAGACCAGCCTGGCCAACGTGGTGAAACCTCATCTCTACTAACAATACAAACGTTAGCTGGGCATGGTGGTGCATGCCTGTAATCCCAGCTACTTGGGAGGCTGAGGCAGGAGAATCACTGGAACCTGGGAGGCGGAGGTTGCAGTAAGCAGAGATTGTGCCGCTGCACTCCAGCCTGGGTGACAGAGCAAGACTCTGTCTCAAAAAAAAAAAAAAAAAAAAAAAAAAAGGGGAAAACAACAAAGTTAGCGCTGAGCAGAGTTTCAGGATTCTAGACCTGGTTTAAAATGCATTACATGGAATAACATGTTTAATCTGCAAGTTAACTCTCTGATATAGCGAGTCAGATTATCACAATTTTGACAAGATAAAGGCACAAAACAGGATACAAGATTTTTTTTTAAAAAAGGACAGAAACCCATTAATTCTAAATAATTAAAGATCAATTCATTAAATACACCTATCGTTGAACCTTGAACGACGTGGGTTTGAACTGGCTGGGTCCATTTATACGTGGATTTTCCTCTGCCTCTGCCACTCCTGAGACAGCAAGACCAACCCCTCCTCTTCCTCTTCCTCCTCCTCAGGTTCCTCAATGTGAAGACCACAACGATGAAGATCTTTCTGGCTGAGTTCAGTTTCAGTGGCTCACACCTGTAATCTTAGCACTTTGGGAGGCCAAGGTGGGTGAATTGCTTGAGCCCAAGAGTTTGAGATCAGCTTTAGCAATGCAGTGAAACTCCATCTCTACAAAAAATTAGCAGGGTGTGTGCCTGTAGTCCCAGTTACTCGGGAGGCTGAGGTGGGAGGACCTGAGCCCAGGGAGGTTGAGGCTGCAGTGAGCCCTGATTGCGCCACTGCACTGCAGCCTGGGAGTGCAGTCTCAAAGAAAACCCAGTCTCAAAAAATGAAACAAAACACCCAAAAAAGATCTTAAGATGATCCACTTCTGCTTAATGATGAGTGAATATTTTTTCCTTATGATTTTCTTAATAACATTTTCTTTTCTCTAGCTTACTTTATTGTAAGAATATAGTATATAATTATATAACATATAAAATACGTGTTAACTGACTGTTTATGGTATTGGTAAGACTTCTGGTCAACAGTAGGCTGTTAGTAATTAAGTTTGGGGGGAGTCAAAAGTGTAAAGCAATACACTTTATGGGGGCAGAGCTCCTAACCCCAATGCTGTTCGAGGGTCAATCTAATTGAACAGCTTCAAAAAATATCAAGCAATACTTACAAATTCAGGGAGAAAAACATACATCAACAATTGTAGTTGGAGCTTTTAATGATCAAACAGAGAAAAGAAAACACACACTGATGTCTTGATCAATACAGTGAGTAAGCTGGAGATATGAGATACGCAGAGAACTTACCACTCATCAGACGGAGGCTATGCCTTTCCCTCATGCACGCACACACCATTTACCACAATAGGCCAGACACAGAGCCATGAAGGAAGTCTCAGTGAAGTTCTAATAGTTAATACAAAATAAACTGCATTCTCTAACCACACATCAATGACATTAAATATAACAAAAGAATTTTTTTAACAACTCCAGTATTTTGGAAAGTAATTAATATATTTATGGATAGCCCTTGGAAATGATTGAGGAAATTAAGAAGTGCATAGAGGAGTTCTCTATTTATGTGAGCACTTCCTCTGTGTGTACCCAATGTGACATGCCCAAGTCAGTGACATGCCTTCAGGCGAAGCCAAGGCAGGTCTTAAAGGGAAATTGAAAGCTTCAAATGCTTTCGTTAGGAAACAACAAATGGGGAAAACAAACCAGCCAGGTATTTAACACAAGCAGCTGGAAAAAGAGCAAGAGAGCAACACCTATCCAACTCCACTCCCAGAAAACATAAGAAAGGAGAAGAAAAATATAAGGGTAGAAGCAAATACAATGAATAAAACCCATAGAGGATGAACAAAATCAAAATCTGGCTTAAAACATTTAATATGCTAGACAGACTTCTGGAAAGACCAATAAAAGTGGGATCTGGTGAGGGTCTTCTTGCTGCATTGTCCCATGGCAGAAGGCAGGAGGGCAAGAGGGGGAATAAATAAGATAATAAATTGGTATTATGAAGAGGCATATTTTAACAAATTTGATACTTAGATGACATGGATGAATTCTTTTTTTTTTTTTTTTTTTTTTTTTTTTTTTTTGAGGTACAGTTTCACTCTGTTGCCCAGGCTGGAATGCAAAATGGCATGATCTCTGCTCACTGCAGCCTCTGCCTCCCGGGTTTGAGTGATTCTCCTGCCTCAGCCTCTTGAGTAGCTGGGATTACAGGCATGCACCACCACGCCCGGCTAATTTTGTATTTTTAGTAGAGACAAGGTTTTACCATGTTGATCAGGCTGGTCTCAAACTCCCAACCTCAGGTGATCTGCCCACCTTGCCCTCCCAAAGTGCTGGGATTACAGGTGTAAGCTACCATGCCCAGCCAGATGAATACTTATAAAAAGTATAAAATGCCAAACTTGTGAAGGACAAGACAGATAACTTGAGTAGATGAATGCATGTTAAAGAGGTTAAATGGTAGTCAAAGGCACCAAAAAAATCCAAGTCTGGATAATCGTTTTTGGAGATTTCTATAATATTTTCTAGGAATGGTTAATTTCTATTTTATACAAGATATTTGGAAAATTGGGAAATGAGTGGAAGCTGTCTGGCTCATTTTGTGAGGCTCATGTAATCTGGATTTCAAAACCAAATAGAGACAGCAGGGATTAAAAAAATATATAGACCCATTTATTTATAAATGGAGTTTTAAAAATCCTAAGTAAAATATTAGTTAATAGAATCTAAAAGTATATTCAGAAAAATAAGTGATGAAGTAGAGTTCATCCAGGAATATCTAACAATCTCTCAATACAATTCACTATTGTAAGAGATTAAAGAAATATATTTTATCTCAATCAATGCAGAATAAGCATTTGATAAAGCTCAGTATTAATCTTCATCTGTTTTGTGCTTGTCAACAGAGTACTTGAGATTAGGTAATTTATGATAAACACAAATGTATTTTCTCACAGTTCTGGAGGCTGGAAAGTCTAAGGTCAAGGTGCTGCCATCTGGTGAGGGCCTTCTTGCTACATTGTCCCATGGCAGAAGGCAGGAGGGCAAGAGGGGGACGAACTTGTTCTTTTATAAAAGCACCAATCCCACCCAAGAGGGAGGAGCCCTCATGGCCTAATCACCTCCAAAGTTCCCAGACCCCCCTGTTAAAAAAATTTGATTGTTAAGATGGGGTCTCGCTCTGTCACCCAGGCTGGAGTGCAGTGACACAGTCTCAGATCACTGTAACCTCTGCCTCCTGGGTTCAAGTGATCCTCCCACCTCAGCCTCTGGAGTAGCGGGGACCACATGTGTGCTCTACCACACCCAGCTAATTTTTTGTTGTTTTGATGGAGATGGGGTTTCACCGTGTTGTCCAGGCTGGTCTCAAACTCCTGATCTCAGGTGATCTGCCCAACTTGGTTTTCCCAAAGTGCTAGGATTACAGGTGTGAGCCACCATGTCTAGCCTGGTCCCAGGTCTTAGTACAGTGTCCATGACAATTAAATTCCTTCCTTCCTTCCTTTTATTTTTCCTTTTTTTTTGACAGAATCTTGCTCTGTTGCCCAGGCTGGAGTGCAGTGGCATGGTCTTAGCTCACTGCAACCTCTGCCTCCCAGGTTCAAGTGATTTTCCTGCCTCAGCCTCCTGAGTAGCTGGGACTACAGGCATGTGCCACCATGCCCGGCCCATTTTTGTGCTTTTACTAGAGACAGTTTCTCCATGTTGGCCAGGTTGGTCTCAAATTCCTGACCTCAGATGATCCGCCTGCCTCAGCCTCCCAGAGTGCTGGGATTATAGGTGTGAGCTACCATGCCCGGCCTGAATTCCAGTGAGTTTTGAAGTGGATAATCATTCAAACCATAGCAGTACTCATCTCTGATAAAACATTTTTTAAAAACCCTGAATTCTACCTAACACCATAAACATAGCTGGATTCTAGGTAAAGTCCTAGTAGAAAAAGCAAAAGTTAAAAGAATATACAGGAGAAAAACCTTTGTTACTTATAAGCAGGAATGTCTTAAATAAAAATTCAAAAGCACAAGCCATAGGGCAACACATTGACACATTTCATTATGTCAGAGTTAGAGAGTTTTGTTAAATGAAAGACAAGATGGACAAAGTTAATGCACAGCTGAACAAATGAGAAAAGATATTTGCAATGTTAATAGTTGATGAGGGATTAACAAGGGACTCCTGCCAATCAAAAAGACAAGGAGAGCAACCGCAGCAGAAGAATGGGCAAGGGATATGGACAGATGACACAAAGAAAAATCCCAAAGCTATTATGCATGTAAAGAGAAGCTCAAGGTCATTAGTAATCACACACATGAGAACTAGAACACAAGGCCACTTTCCAGCTGTTGTACTGGCAAACAGTTGAAAAGCTGGTGAAGCCAAATGTTGGCCTGGATGGGTTCTGCAGGCAAGTTCATGGTGGCTGATGGAGTGTGGATGCTTCAGCCTTTCTGGAAGGATCTGGGGCTCCTGATGCTATGACCCAGTGGTTACGCTACTGAGTATACCAGCCAGAGGCATTCCATGGGATCCACCGCGGTCCACGGGTTTGAGGCTGTTCAGTGTGGAGTAGGTACGTGGGAGAGCATTGGAGGCAGCCGGGTGCTAGTCATCAGAGAAAGAATGTGCAGGTGAAACGTGGCTGATCGTGCTGGAGCCACATGCAGCCATGGAACCTGGATTAAATGTGCCCCTTCCACACAGGTGAGACTTCAGAACCTAGTGGAGTTTTAGAAAAAAAAGTCAGAAGAATGAGATATATAATGCAATACCATTTATGCAAATAAAATGTACACCCAAATAAGACTGTAATGCCTATTTTGTAAGAACATGAAATGCAGAAGCAGCTACTTGGCAATCAGAGCAAAACTCCAAGGGGAGGGGAGGAGGTGAGAGTCAGGGGAGGGGAGGAGGTGAGAGACAGGGGAGGGGAGGAGGTGAGAGACAGGGGAGGGGAGGAGGTGAGAGACAGGGGAGGGGAGGAGGTGAGAGACAGGGGAGGGGAGGAGGTGAGAGTCAGGGGGAGGGGGAGCAGGTGAGAGACAGGGGAGGGGAGCAGGTGAGAGACAGGGGAGGGGAGGAGGTGAGAGACAGGGGAGGGGAGGAGGTGAGAGTCAGGGGAGGGGAGGAGGTGAGAGACAGGGGAGGGGAGGAGGTGAGAGACAGGGGAGGGGAGGAGGTGAGAGACAGGGGAGGGGAGGGGAGGTGAGAGACAGGGGAGGGGAGGAGGTGAGAGACAGGGGAGGGGAGGAGGTGAGAGACAGGGGAGGGGAGGAGGTGAGAGACAGGGGGGGGGAGGTGAGACAGGGGAGGGGAGGAGGTGAGAGACAGGGGAGGGGAGGAGGTGAGGACAGGGGAGGGGAGGAGGTGAGAGACAGGGGAGGGGGAGGGAGGAGGTGAGAGACAGGGGAGGGGAGGAGGTGAGAGACAGGGGAGGGGAGGAGGTGAGAGACAGGGGAGGGGAGGAGGTGAGAGACAGGGGAGGGGAGGAGGTGAGAGACAGGGGAGGGGAGCAGGTGAGAGACAGGGGAGGGGAGGAGGTGAGAGCAGGGGAGGGGAGGCAGGTGAGAGACAGGGGAGGGGAGGAGGTGAGAGCAGGGGGAGGGGGAGGAGGGGAGGAGGAGGGGAGGGGGAGGAGGTGAGAGACAGGGGAGGGGAGGAGGTGAGAGACAGGGGAGGGGAGGAGGTGAGAGACAGGGGAGGGGAGGAGGTGAGAGACAGGGGAGGGGAGGAGGTGAGAGACAGGGGAGGGGAGGAGGTGAGAGACAGGGGAGGGGAGGAGGTGAGAGACAGGGGAGGGGAGGAGGTGAGAGACAGGGGAGGGGAGGAGGTGAGAGACAGGGGAGGGGGAGGGAGGGGAGGAGGTGAGAGACAGGGGAGGGGAGGAGGTGAGAGACAGGGGAGGGGAGGAGGTGAAGACAGGGGAGGGGAGGAGGTGAGAGCAGGGGGGGGGGGGGGGGGGGGGGGGGGGGGGGGGGGGGGGGAGGGGAGGGAGGAGGTGAGACAGGGGAGGGGGAGGAGGTGAGAGACAGGGGAGGGGAGGAGGTGAGACAGGGGAGGGGAGGAGGTGAGAGCAGGGGAGGGGAGGAGGTGAGACAGGGGAGGGGAGGAGGTGAGAGCAGGGGAGGGGAGGAGGTGAGAGCAGGGGAGGGGAGGAGGGGTGAGAGACAGGGGAGGGGAGGAGGTGAGAGCAGGGGAGGGGAGGAGGTGAGACAGGGGAGGGGAGGAGGTGAGACAGGGGAGGGGAGGAGGTGAGTCAGGGGAGGGGAGGAGGTGAGAGACAGGGGAGGGGAGGAGGTGAGAGACAGGGGAGGGGAGGAGGTGAGAGCAGGGGAGGGGAGGAGGTGAGAGACAGGGGAGGGGAGGAGGTGAGAGACAGGGGAGGGGAGGAGGTGAGAGACAGGGGAGGGGAGGAGGTGAGAGCAGGGGGAGGGGGAGGAGGTGAGAGACAGGGGGGGGGGGGGGGGGGGGAGGGGGGAGGGGGAGGAGGTGAGAGCAGGGGAGGGGGGGGAGGGGAGGACAGGGGGAGGGGAGGAGGTGAGAGACAGGGGAGGGGAGGAGGTGAGAGACAGGGGAGGGGAGGAGGTGAGAGGACAGGGGGAGGGGGGAGGAGGTGAGAGACAGGGGAGGGGGAGGAGGTGAGAGACAGGGGAGGGGAGGAGGTGAGAGACAGGGGAGGGGAGGAGGTGAGAGACAGGGGAGGGGAGGAGGTGAGAGTCAGGGGAGGGGAGGAGGTGAGAGTCAGGGTGGGGAGAAATGGAAAGGAATGTGTAGACAACAGAACGACCTGGGAACCTTGCAAATATCCGTGGTGAAAATACGCTACAATAGGATAAATATGTGATTAACTCCACCCCCTTCATCTGGGGTCTCAAAAACAAGCAAACAAGCAGATAGAAAACAAAAGCAAAAAGAAAAGCTCTGAAGCAGATATCAAAATGGTGGTAGGTTTAATATATTTACATCGAGCAAATATAAGTTTTTAACAAAAAAGATAATTTGATGTAATTTCCACATTTCATGTTCCATATTTCCATAGCAATTTATAAGCTAGTTAAAGGATTTATTTAAAAATAGTAATTCTGAGAGCACTATCAGGGTGTGGCCTGAGAGAGGGCCACAGAGTTTGAATCTTCTCTAAATTCTGACAAAATATCTCTGTGACTATAAATATTCGGAGGCAACATCAACACTTTAACTTTAGAGACCTTTGTCAATGGGAGGCGGGGACCCAGTGGCGCCCTCTGCCCCTGCCTCATCCCCCTCCCAGATCCTGTGTCCCCACTTAGGCTGAGACCATGATGTGGTAACCTGGTCCAGGTGGCTTTGAGTCCCTCTCTGTGGAGGTGTGGGAGGTTTGGGCCAGGTCATGGCAGTCGCCACCCCATAGATGTCACAGGTCCTGAAACGCTGCTCTTTGTGGCTTCTGGATGGGGCCTGGGGACCTGGGAAAACCAGGGGCAGCGACACAGGACTGGGCGAGTTCTGAGATGGACCGAATACTCTGCCAAGCCTTGAGCCTTAACACAGTCCCATGAGGTCAGTACTATGATGGTTATCATCTTTACTGCACAACTAAGGAAAGGGAAGAAAGGTTAGAAATTTGTCCAGGGACATACGGCAAAGATAGGGACTCAGCAGCATGGTGGCAGTGGCCACACGGGTAGCCGCGGCGGGTGCTATGGTGCCTTTCACAGGGGAGAACCATGGCCAAGTTTTAGTTTCCAAACTGGAAGATGGAGGCATTTAGCAACCTCCTTTGAGGCTTGCACATTGAAGCTTTGTGCTTCCCTTTGCAAAAGATCTTGGCTAAAATTCATGTATCCCTGCCTGCACCACCACTTGGGCACATATCTGCACACACACACACACACACACACACACAAACACACATGCACATACACGCACACACGCACACACACACATTCACACACGCACATCACTCAGCTTGGGGATGGTGTTGAGCACGATTCAGGGATCTTGCTTTTTTATTTTTTTGTACTAAGATGCCATAACCTTGACAAATTATTTTATTAAGTTCGGTATCTTTGATCAAGCACAACCAAACCCAAGAAGATGAATTATTAAAATGGAGGTTTACCTTCTATCATTTAGGGCTATTGTTCCACAGTCAGAGTGCATCCAAGTCAGGGCTCTGCCAGGAATGAAGCACGGAGGAGCCACCAGTTAGTGTTTTTCTTGCAAAGGATACCAGTTCTTCACCATCCCTGCGGCAATCTCTCTCATCTCAGCTTCCTGCCAAGGTTTCAGATCTCAGGGAGACACAGGCTCCTTGGCACGCGCCGATGATCACAGAGCCAACTTTGGAAGTCATGGATTTCTGAGCTGGTCTTGCGTAGGGCAGGCGCTTGCCTTTGGCTGAGCGGCATGAAAGATGTTGGCGGGTGAGCAGTGGGCCGAGCGCCGTGTGTGTGAACATACCGCGTCCACATTCTTCCTCGCTGCACGCTCCACCTCTGGCTAGAGGATCAGGTTTGCCCTGAGTCAGCAGGAGCCGGAGCGTGACACCCACATGTTTCAGGGATGGCCAACAGCGTCTGTTCCAGTGGGTTCATGGCGTCTCTTTGAGCTGAGAAGACCAGGGGCAGATTCACGTCCACATTCCCCATTGGATGTCAGGCCAAGGGCAGGATTGGGCAGATGGCACCATGCCCCTGTGTGCGAGTCACGAGTGCAGCCAGCAGGTGGTCACCATCCTGCCATGTCCTGGGGTGCTCCCATTCCTTCCTGCTACAGTACATCCGTGCTTCTCACGAACCTCTGCCCGCCACTGTCCACCTGGCAAGCCTTTCTGGGAGGGTTTCTGGAAGGGTCCTCTCCCCTCCTCACAGTGCAGTTCCTCCCACAAACCGGCCTCATCACCCCCGCTGCCCATCGCCCACGCCCCTCCCAGCCGCCTCTTTGAGCTCCTGGCACCCATCATGAGCCTTCTGTTCACACGCCCTCCTTCCCTTTCCTCTCCCGCCCCATCTCACACTCCCACTCCTCCCCTTGCTCGCTCAGCCTAAATCTACTCAGCCCTCATGCATCGCAGTCCGTCCGTGAGTGAGTCTATGTTTTCTAAATGATCTGCTTGTGAAAGTCCTGGTTTCCTGGTTTTCCAGCCCTGATCTCTTCATCTCAGGGCTTTACACCTGTCTTAGTGCTGAGGAATCCCACCGGGATTCCTGGTCCTTGATGCGATACCTCTCCTTGGAGAGCCCGATTTCTGGGTGGAGGTGCCTGCCTTGCCCCTCCACTGGGCATCTCATAGGAACCCCAGACTCCACAGGACTCAACCTGCCTTTGGTCCCTTCAATCTGTCCCTCCCCCAGCCTTCCAGTATCTGTAAATGGCACCTTGTCCTACTCCTCTGCTGGCGTCCATGTTAGGACACGCCCTCAGCTCCTCTCTGTCTCTCCCCAACACGTCAAGCCCCCTCTCTGCGACCTTCACACTATGTCTGTGGTCTACAGCTTAGTTCTAGAGGGTGGGGTCTGCTTGTTCCCTGTCCTGTCCCTGTTGCCCTGGTGTTGCCTCAACCAGGTAGACCATGTACCTGTGTCAGCTGAATGAGCGAGTCCAGCCTCTTGTCTCTGGCACCAGCCTCCCCTCCCTGCAGGAATCTCCTACGTAGTCACTGACAGTGGATCCAGAATCCCTGTCTCTGCCTAGTGTCCTTCCCTGGCTTCTTGTTGCTCAGCAGGTGAAATCCCCGCTGGTTACCTTGCCTGGGAGGCCCTATGAGGCCCAGCTGCACCTTCTTCCCCGTACCTTGTGCCTGGTCTCTGTCCTTTAGTATGCCCCGTGCTCCCCCGCCTCAGAACTTTCCTGGGGGTCTCTCATCTGTTCATGGCTCTGTCTGTGGCCAGCTCCTTCCTCCCCAGGCTGAGTTCACCATCACCTGCTCAGGAGTCTCTCTGAGCTCTCTCTGGATGTGGTGCCTCCCTCCTTCTCCTCCACGGTCATTCTCCATCACCTCCCCACCAGTTCCCTTCACGAGCACTTAGGGCCTGACCTATCTGTGTAGTGGACAAGTGCCGTCTCCCTCACTGGACTGTAAGCCCCATCGAATCAGAGACTGGACAGGGCAGCTTGCACACCCAGTGCACGGGGCCAGCAGACATCAGCTGGATGGGCGAGGTTGGGACTGGGCCTCTGGTTCTCTGTAAGGCACATGGTGGACATGCAGAGGATGACGGCCCCATGGCTAATGAGGCTCTGACTGAGATAGAAGCTGCTGCCTCTGCCCTGCCCTTGTGGACAGTGCCAGGGCGGAGAGTGAATTGTGGGTTGAGGGATTGTGCACTGAACCTGTGCACGTTCTGCTGCAGAAGGATCTTGCTCCTGGGGCTGAGCTCTCTGAGGCTAGTGACTCTGTTATCTTGGCCGTGGCCTCCCTGCCTGACACTGAGGGTATCTAGCCGATGTCTGCTGGGGGTGAGGGAGGCAGAGGACGGTGGACTCAGGTGTCATCTGGAGCCTGTGAGCAGAATCCCCCAAGATGTCAGACACTCTCTTTCCTGGCCTTGGCTGGACTCCAGCTTTAGAAGGCTGGGGAGGGCCGCTGTAGACACGGCCGGGGTCCTCACAGCAACCCTTGCAGCCCGGAAGCAGGGGGTCAAGGGAGGCAGGGGATGGAGTGAGAGTGAGGGCGGCAGATTTTCACCCTGACCTGGGGTCAGGAAGACTGATGAGAGAAAATGTATGGACAATGGTCATGCCTAGCCCCAGGCAGCCCATCGGGAGAGTTCTAGCGCAGATAGAGACTGGGGGAGGTAAGCTGCATGGGCAGACGGGGGCATGGGGGACCTGTGCAGGGTGGGGTCCGCACTTGGCCCCCCAATCTGCTCCTGCCTCTTCGCACTCAGCCTGGACCTGTCCCGAGATGCTTGCAGCTTTGATCTGAGCGGAGACAGATGCTGCCTATGAGGGACACAGACTCATCCCCGTTGTTTGTTAGTGCCATGCCAAGTTGAAACTGGCTTGCCCCCTTTCATTTCTCTCTTTCTTAACTCATGAATATGTATTTCAAGGGCTGCATCCCTGCAAGGAAACCGGAAATGTGGAAGATGAGCAGTCTGTGTGTGTTTGCCAGCGAGTCCCTGGAGACCCAGCTGACCTCCCCAGGGTGGAGCCAGAGAGCCCGTGGGGGACCTTGCCTGGCCCACATCACAGAGTGGACCTAGCTCCACAGTGAGGAAATGGGTGGCAGGGGCTCAGGGTCGGCCTGCCTGTGTGCTAGCTCTCCCCCAGGCCCCAGAGGAGCAGTCTCCTTCTTGTTGTCTTGCCTGAGATGGAAGCTATATGAGTCAGGCTTCTCTGGAGATGGAGAACCAATTGGATATAGATATGGAGAAAGACAGGGAGAGTGCCAAGGAGATGACAAGGAATTGGCTCATGTAATTGTGGGGCTGGCAAGTCCAAAATCTATGGGGAACTCAGCAGGCTGGAGACCCAGGGATGAATTGATGAGACTGCAGGGGGAACCCGTCCTCTTTGGGGGAACCGCCATCTTTACCACCAACTGATTGGACAAGGCCCACTCTCACTCCAGAGTCTGCAGGTTTAAATGTTAATCACATCTTGGCCAGGTTCAATGGCACATGATTCCAGCACTTTGGGAAGCTGAGGCAGGCACATTGCCTGAGACCAGGAGTTCAAGACCAGCCTGGGCAATGTGGCAAAACACTATCTCCAGAAACAAAGAAAGTTAATCACATCTGAAGAGTCCTTTCATAGCAGCATTGAGACTAGTGTTTAACCAAATGTCTGGGTTCCGTGGCTTAGCCAAGCTGACACAAATTAACCATCACAGGATCACACCCCACCGGGAACAAGACTGTGGGAGAATCCTGGGGCTCCCCTGGGGTGGCGGGAGATGCACTATTTTGTGTCCTGAGAGGAAGGCACCCTCCTCCCTTCCGGAGTCTCAGCCACACTCGGGGCTGGTTTGCTTTCACCATCACAGTGTCTGCTTCGAGGGTGCGTCTTCGAGGACAAGGATGAGTGTGGGCGCGGGGTAGTGAAGGTGCTGGGCTGCAGAGGCAGGGGGTGAGAAGACAGTGTGGAGTGTGAACCCCTGTGGGTCTGGCCCCTTCCTGGGCCTCAGTTTCCTTTCTTAAACAAAAGCATCATGGCACAGCTTTCTTTTGCATCTCGTAAGCAGGGCCAGGGGAGCTGCTGAACAGCCTGCGATGCCCAGGACAATGAAGAGGGTTTTGGCCCCAAACGTCAGTGGCGCTGAGCAGAGCAACCCTGATTTAGCGACTCCTTGCTGGGCCTGGTTCCCAGTGTGTTGGGGACATGATGCAGGTGACTCTGCTGTGGGCTCGCAGGCTCTGCTGGTTCCATGGACAGAAATAAAGTGGAACTTTGTGCTGCTGGAACTCGGGCGGTTGTGCTGCGGTGCACCCTCCTCCTGTGTGAGCGGCGACCTTGGAGTCTGGCTTGGGGCCGTCGTGAAGGCGATGGGAGCCTGGGGTGCTGAGGTGGAGCCCGGGGGAGCCTGCCAGAAGGAGGCAGAGGAGAATTTGGCCCTTAGGCTGCCGAGAGACTGAGGAGAAAATGGGAAGAAATGGAAAGGCACCCTCAGGACTCATCAGGGAAGCGGAGGAGAAGGAAAGTCACTTTGGAGAGGGCACATGGCGGGCGTTTGAACAGAAACTCGCGCTGTTGGAAACTTTCTCCAACAGCTCAGCCTGCACTGGTCCGGGGTCTCCATGAACCTCCTCTCCCCAGCTCCCTGGCCTCCGGGGTCCTGTGTGGGCCCCTGAGCCCACCTGCCACTGTGCCCTGCAGTTCCCGTGACCCAGGGGCTGGCACGGAGGAGCAGGTTGGCCCTCCTAGCACCTGCCACACACTGGCTCCGGCAGCTTGAAATATTAATACTCTATTGACCTGAGTTTCTTTTGGCATCTCAAATTAATTTCATTTTATTTGGACCATGATGGAGTTTAACATAAGATAACAGCAAACCTTTGCCAACCTCAGACAGTTTAATAACCAAAAACCTTTGATTAAAAATTTTAATAGTCTGGAAGGATGGAACGTGTAGGGTCGGGGCAAATCAAGCCTCTGCCATTCACATTGATGTACAGTTTTCTGACTGGAATGGGGAAATCTATTTTCTTACTGCTTTTCCAAGGGAACCGGAAAAAAAAAAATTAAACTCTTTAAAACAAGGTTTTCTTACAAAATGAACCTCCATTCTGACAGCGTGGGTCTTCTTTATTTACTGGGAGTCACAGGTGTGCAGGGAGACGAGTCCTCAGCCTCCACCATCCCGCGGGGGATCTGTGTGTCGGTCTCCTGGGGCTGCTGTAACAGATGCCACAAACCGAGGGGCTTAAAGCAACGGGAATGTATTCTCTCACTGTTTCAGAAGGCAGAGGTCCAAAGTCCAGGCGTCCTCAAAGCCACGTTCCCTTGGAGGCTCCGGGGAGAGTCCTTCCTTGTCCCCTAGAATTTTTGGTGGCTGTGACCACACTGCCCCAACCTCTGCCTCTGCCTTCATGGCCTTCTGCCCCCTGTGTGTCTCCTCTGTGTTTCCCGGAAGGACACTCATCCATGGACTTAGGGCCCACCTGGGCAATCCAGGATAACCTCATCTTGAGATCCTTCACTTAATTACTTCCACAAAATAAGGCCACATTTTCCAAATAAGGTCATAGCCACAAGTACCAGGGATTAAGACTTGGACATATCTTTTGGGGGCCACGATACTTCAACCCATTAAAAGCCTCATATCAACCTGGGAGGAGGGTGATCACTGAAGAAGCTGAGGGTCTCTGGCCCAGTGAGAAGGAAGCATGACCAGATTTGGGTTCCTGTGCTGGCACTGTGGTGGAAAGAGCACCCCGATCCTG